TTGTCCAATGTGACATTTCCAGTTATTATTGTCATACTGTTCCCTTCTCTATCTTACCTACCCTCTGCTCCACACACACTTGAAATTGATTCCAAACACTGACCAGTCCTTTAGCCCCTGTCTTCCTGGGGCCCACAGATACTAGTTTCCAAAAATATATACACATATATCTCACAGATGAATGCAGTCATTTTATTCATTCTATATCTGTCCCTCTCCTTCTGACTCATTTTACTTAGCATGATACTTTCCATGTCCATCTTTTTATAGGCAAATTTCATGACTTCATTTTTCCTGACAGCTGCGTGGTATTCCATTGTGTAGATGTGCCATAGTTTCTTTATTCATTTGGCTGTTCTTGGGCACTCAGGTTGTTTCCAGATTCTGGCTATTGTGAATAGTGCTGCAATGAACATAGGAGTGCAGATGAAGTTTCTACTGTGTGTTTTTGGCCTCCCAGGGTATATTCCCAGAACTGGTATTGCTGGGTCAAATGAGAGCTCAATTTCTAGTTTCATGAGGAATGTCCATATTGCTTTCCATATAAATATGGATTTTTAAATAGAGTATTTTTCTGGTGTTGGTTTCATATATGTGAGACCTGTGCTTTACAGCCAAGCCACATAACCTAGCTGTGTGTATCTTGGGGAAGGGGGAGTTTGGGCCACGCCCAGTAGTTCTTAGGGCTTTCTCCTGACTCTGTGCTCAGGGGTCATTCCTGGCAGTGCTTGAGGGACTATATGCAGTGTTGAAAATCTAACCAGGGTCAGCCACATTCAAGCCAAGGGCCTTACCTCTGTACTATCTTTCCAATTCTCACTGTCTATTTTTTAAAAACTATTTTTTGGGGCCGGAGCAATGGCATAGCGGGTAGGGCGTTTGCCTTGCATGCGGCCGACCTGGGTTCGATCCCTGGCATCCTATATGATTCCCCCAAGCACCGTCAGGAGTAATTCCTGAGTGCAGAGCCAGGAACAACCCCTGAGCATTGCTGGGTGTGACCCAAAAAGCAAAAAAAAAAAACCAACTATTTTTGGATGTTGTAAAGTAAATCCTGCCATATAATCATGAGATAAACAATCAAATATAAAAATAAGCTTGAATATTTTAGCAAAGGAGAGCTAGGAATAGCTAGTAAGTATAAGAAAAAACACTCAACATCACAAGTCATTAAAGAAATTTAAATTAAGACCACATTCAGAAGTCTGGGATATAGTTCAGGTGAGTGCTGAGACCACAAGTTTGATCCCCAGTAAGGCTCCACATGCACATGTAAGCATGACCCCAGTGGCACTACCATTTGGAATCCCTGGTATCACAAAGAAGTATGATTTCTGGCGAGTGCCATAACTAACAGTGTATGGGAATCACAACCAAGTAGTTATTGTTGTGACTGATCATCACAACAACAACAAAAGGGGGAGGGAAGGGAATAAATACACAAAACCATATCTACTACAATATTAATTAAAGAAGATACAGAACAGCAAGCTTTGGAGACGATATGGATAAAGTGAAGACCTCATACTTCGCTGGTGGGATTATAAAATAGTGCTGGTACTTTGGGAAACACTTTTGTCTTTTTTTCAGAATGTGAAGCATAGATTTACCATAAGACTCAGCAATTCCACAACTATTTATCGAGAGAAATGAAAACATGGTTTCATAAAATCTTGTGCACAACAAATGTTCATAGCCTCTTACCTACAATAGCCAAAACTGTATGTAAACAATACAAACATTCATCTAGTGAATGGATCAATATAACATGGTATGATTATATAACAGAATTATGTTCAGCAATAAAAAGGAATGAATTACTATTGATAGAAGTACAACATGGATAGACCTCAAAACCATTATGCTAGTTGAAAGGAGCCAGATGCAAAGGACCACATATTGTATGATTTCAATTATACAAAATATCCAGAAAAGGCAACGCTATAGAGAAAAATCCATTAATGGTTGCTTAGGGCAGAGATGGATGAATAGGGATTAACTGTAAGTAGACACCAGGGATCTCTTTGGGATGACGGAAATGTTCAAATTTTGAATTGTGGTGATGGTTGCACAACTCAGCACATTTACTAAAAGTCATTTAATTATAGATTTTAAATGGATGGATTTTATGGCATGCAAATTTTACACAACTTTTTTAAAAAAAGAATATAATGGCCTGTGAATTCTAGCTCTGCTGTGCAATTGTCTAAATATCCTCTATCTTTTTCAGACTCAGTTTTCTTCACGTGTAAAATATGAGCAATAGTATATACCTAATTCTATTGTTGTGGAGATGAAAACTAATAGTTATTATGTCAGTGCCAATACTATTATTCTTATTTTACTTCTTGAGATGCTTCTACTTCCAAAATGTTTCTGACAGAAAAATCTACCTTGTTCTATTTACTCTGAGAATTTTATTTTTTATTGATGTGTTTACATAAGATTCACCTTTATTTTTTGTTGTTCTTTTAGGGCTGCATCTGATGGTGCTCAGGAG